GTTGTCCCAGTCCCCATTTTCCGACACCTATGTAATATCTGTTCTCATACAGACTGATGGATATAACTTAAGTAACACTGGAGCCCTTATTTGTTAGACCACTTTGTAGGCCAATATTTGTAAACCATGCAGCAACACCTAACAACATTTCAAAAGCTATATTTTTAGTCCCATCAGAGCCATGTTCCAGCAGTATCAGCCAATCCCACTCGTTTATTTTTCTTTCCATAAATGCCACTATCCATTAACCCTGGTTAGGTAGGCAGGGAGAAAAGTTGGGGGGAGGGGAAGCTGACTAGCATATAGCTGCAACAAGAGATGTATGTATGAGGGAAACACAATTAGGATGATGTGTGAAAAGCAAAGGGTGAAAGGATGAGGTAATGGGAAGAGAAGCAGAAGTGTGTTAGCACTTAAAGGACTGAGATAAATGAATCATGTTTTCACCCCCAAATTTCTAGCACATTGGGGGTTAGAACGCTCTTTTTGCTTAAGAAGCACATATATTCTATTGATGTCATTATATAAACAATAATCTATGTTATTTTAAGGTTACTGATCCTGATATTTATGGTGAGAAGTGGTGTGCAAACATTAAGAATAAATCCACAACTGAATGTGGGCTGGGGCTGAAAACCAGAGGCCATGCTTCTTTTCACTATCACAATTTATTTGTGTATTTAATAAGCTTTCATAGAAAAAGCTTCCTGGGCAGTTTCCCAAGAGAAATCATGCAGTCATAAAACCTAGCACAATATAAAATGAGGAACAGAGCCTAAAACCCATAGAACAAACAGAACCAGAAATGGTGCAACCTTAAAAGCTTCAATTTCGTAACTTATTTTATTTTTAATCAAAGAGTAAGCACGCAAGACCTGGTGATGGATACCGGCTTTAAAGGTTTCTCACCTAAGTCTATCAATGACTATAAGCCGAAAAACCTCAATGGAACCTCCAGCTCCAGTGGCAGTTGCCAAGAAAGAGGAGGGCAAAGAGCGAGTGGGGGCTCCTCGCTTCCATGCCCTGCAAGGGAAAACAGGGGGTTGGTTGCCCACCGTGGGAAACAGGCTGAGCGAGGCTAGAATTTGAAGGGAAGGCGGAGGCGAGCAAGCGGCCTTGCAGCAGTTGCCGGACTACAACTCCCATCGTCCCTGGCTACTGGCCACGCTGGCAGGGGCTGATGGGAGTTGGAGTCCATTCGCCCATCCCTAGCACTGGATGCGCCTCCAGCCCCGAGCCGGAGCTCTACTTCGCGGCTCGGCTGCAGCCTTTGGACCTGAGGATGTGAAGCACCCGCCCGGCTCCCTTCTGCTCGCTGCGCCTCACCTCGCAAGGCAGCAGCTCCGTGCCCGCCTCCTCTCCGTGCGTGATCCGGCAGAAAACGCACTTGCCGTCGTAGGCAACGCCGCCGCCGCCGCCTCCAGCGCCCTCTCCGCCAGCCGCGCCAGCCTCTCCGCCGCCGGGACTGGGCTCCGCCGCCGGAGACGAGCCCGAGCTGCCTCCTTCCTCGCCGGCCATCGGGATCCTTCTCTCGGGCGGCCTTTGGCCGGGGAAACGGGCGGAGCGGTCCTCGGGAGACGGGCCCGCCCAGCGGCACAGGCGCTCCGGCGACTCCGCCCTTTGCCGACCCCGGGTGCGCGCAGGCGGAGCGCAGGCTGCGGCGCGGAGGGCGGTCCGCTCGCCTTCGCCCCGCCCCGGGCTCCGGGACGCCGCCGCGACGCAGAGATGATCACCGGGGAGGGCAAGGAGTTTGCGCCCATCAATGAGCGCGCAAGAAACCAGGCGCAGGCAGCAGTGGAAGGAGTGGTGTCGCAAATCAGAGCAACAAGAGAGGGGGATGATTTGGGCATCAGCAGATTGGCTAGACGTGAAGCAACGGAAGATCAGAGAACGGAGTATTTCAGTAGTCGAGTCAGGGTGTGGTGGACCAGAGTTTTGCCTAGTAGTGCACAGAGAGGAAGGGCCATAATCCTGCAGTACTTTAAGGGGAAAGTAACATGTCTAGGGACTGGGCGCGAAACCCTGTGCCTGGCCAACAGAATGAGCAGGTAACATTGCCATGGATTGGGCAAATGAGCAAAAGAGAACGAACAAAAGGCAAGCTCTCTTTGTTTACCGTTGCATTTCTATCCCGTTCTCTCTCTTCTTCACCAAAATTAAACCAAAATTGCTATGAGTGGAAAAGGTGATTAAGACCCCAGTTCGACTGCGTACTTGGAAATAAATCCCATTAAACTCAGTAGAATTCGTTTCTGAATAATGGGCCATAGGACTGCACTTCACAATGTGGAAGGGCTGCTTACCTTGCAAGATGTTGAATACGAATCCTATGTGTGGAGGGTGCACAGGATTCCTTCGTTTCCAATGGCTTTGATTTATTAAGCATCTTCACTAGTGAGTAGGGCAGACACACTGGGGACAAGGTGAAAATAATCATATATGCAGATGGGTTGGATGTGATATGGAGCACTGCCACTTGGACACACAGCATCCAAGCTACAATGTTTTTCCGAAGAGAGTTTCAAAGTGGTTCAGAGTTCAGAATGTGTAATCCCTTTGTCATTTGTACCAGCTACTCTCTTGCCTACTATTACACATTACCAAATTCCAGAACTAATGCCTCTTGTTCCAGATGTAGCAAATGCCCACTGTGTCACTAGCAGTTTGATAAGGCAATTTCTGGGGAAATCCAACATTTAGAAGTTTGAGTGGAATTATCCCTCTGAAGTATTATAGATCAAATATGGCAAGCTAGCCTTTAGTGCTCCCAGCTCTGTCACCTTTGACTATTAAGTATGGGGTGGGGAGAGAAATTTCACGTCGAACATATGAATGCATAAATTCCTTTATTGAAAATGTTGCGGATAGCACTGCATTACATATATTAAATATCCATAGTTTTCTGAAGGGTCACAGAATCTTGAGAGGACAACACTGTTTCGAATATAGAACACAAACTTTAGATATGCTCTGACAAGTACAATATAATGAAATGAACTGTGTATAACAGTAGTGAAATACGTCCATTATTTTTTTAAAAAACCCTTTTGCTTACAACCTGCAAGTGTCTCATCCTTGTTAAAACTGTCTTTCAAGGTTCCCTGGAATGTCTCCAAAGTATTACGCTAATATGTAATGGTGAAAATCTGTCAGAGTAGAACTGATGGTAAGAAGAGTGAAAGGTGTAGGCTGCAGGTGTTAACAAAATGCCCTAAAGCGGTTTTGTACACGAAGGCTATTACTTCTGTGTAGAGAATTATGTGCCTACCACATGTGATGTTTTCTATCTGCAGCAAGCCCAAATTGTTAGTGTGCAGCACTACGCACTCCAAAGCAGACATGTGTGTGTCTGCCCCATGTCACTTGTGTACGGAGTTTCCTACACAGAAGCAATATGTATGTGAAGGAAATTACTCTTTGTAATCTGAATCTGGTTGACCAGGTCATATAGCACAAGATGGATGGTCCCAGTTATTTCCAAGTCATTTGGAAGCAATGCCATCATGAGCGGGGGAAGACCTGGTTAATATGTAAGGATGCAGCCTAGGTTGACACAGGTGGCCTTGTGAAGGCATCCTAAAGGGTGACAAGCATAGTGTATTGACCGATACTTTTTCAGGAGCATAGGAAGTACCGTTTGGTTTTTTAAAAAAATACCCCTTCTCTCATGTTGACTTTATTTGCTTTTTTAAAAGGCTTATCAAGGGCTCCCAAAAGTTAGGAGAATGTCAGCATTTCAGGAAGGAATAGCACTGTCTTTTCATATCTTCCTCTTCCTAACAAAATATTTTTTAGAAGTGGCAAATAAACCAAAAATGGTTTCCAGTTTCAATTAACTGGCAGCACTTAGTCTTTCTTACTGAATTTGGACCCAGTGCTCTCAAGTACTGCTTCATCACGCCATTAAAAAAAAAAAGCAGAAAGAAAAGTGACTGCTTAAAAAGCAGAATGCAACCACAAGGTTGAACTCTTATTCAAGAAAGAGAACATTTTACAAGAAAAAAGAAGAAGGGCAAAGCTAGTCTGGCATGACACAGTTTTCTCTAACAAAGAATTTCAAATAATTTATAGGGCACAGTTTAAGAATCTGTTTTTTGCCCCATAACAATGCCACTGTTTCAAAAGGTATTTCTTTATTGTTAAGCCTCTTAAAAAGAGGATCTGTCTCCAGCACGCAACCAGACAGCTGTGTTTGATAATGGAAACTGACAATGCACCGCTTTCCAACAATCCAAAGTAATGTGTTCTGCCCAAAAACAAGATTCCTAAAATAATAAGAACAAAGCAACAACGAAGTCTTTTACAAAAATTAAAAAAACCAGCAAAGTATAAAAAATACCTAAGAAATGAAATGATTCATCACCACCGCTTAAGACATTTACTTCAGTCAATAAATCTTCCTAGCAAATTTTGAAATTAAAATATTAAAAGAAAAAACATGCCTACTACATTTCATAAAAATGTACTATACAAACAATAAATACGTTCCTTTAAAAATGCTCCCTTTAAGTGCTGTATACTGATTTGAAAGACTAACCCCCTTTCTCATGGAAACCATCACTATACGCAGTAGAATTTGCTAACCCAACTTTTACTTCTTTTTGGTTTTCATGTAAGCAGAATAAAAATACACATGGAATGTACTATACAGGTCTATGTTTTTCCACCAGTATTCTTTCACAGTTACAAAAAATAATGAGACTGCTTTAAACAAACTTGTATATCGCAAATGCCTTCCATAAACATCTTGCATCCATGCTGTAAGATCACCGGCAGGGCAGAAATACGACATAAACGAGGTCATTTTTTAAAATGCAATTAAGTCTTTCCACTTTTTGACCTAAAATCTTCTTGTGCAGCCAGGCTGTGACCAGATTTCATGGGCAGGAGAAGCATGTTCTATTGTGAGGCAGTCTACATTCCAATATTCAACATCCACTGAGTGCTCAGTAAACTTTTTAAGGCAGCATGTACATCACTCAAATGTCCATACTTCCACATCTTGTATGACAAAGTCTTCTTTTTTGGATAAGATATCATTATTGAATGTGCTGCAACAATTGCTCCGGCCATGATATAAATCAGCATCTAGCCATAAACCAAACCTGCCACTGCAAGGAGAAGAAAATTAGCTGAAAACTTTGTTTTATTCAGTTTTGATTTATTAAAAATGATGGCACAAGTTGCCCAATTTAACTTTCTGTTTCTTTCAGCTAGAGGGTTAAACATTTGCTTAGCCTTCTTCCCATGAAGTCAACACGACTTAAAAACCTTTGGTTGAATCCTGTCTGCCGGTTTTTGCCCCGAAGCAGACAGGAGAGGATTGTTGCTTTTTAAAAAAGGAACATGGCAACATAGCCTTTTTCCAGATACAGTCATACCTCGGGTTGCGAACGTGATCAGTGCAGGAGGCACGTCCACAACCCACAGCGCCGCGTCTGCGCACGCGCGTGAGGTAATTCGCTGCTTCTGCGCATGCGTAAAGCGCGATTTAGTGCTTCTACACATGCGCCGAAACCCGGAAGTAACCCGTTCCGGTACTTCCAGGTTTGGTGCGGTCCGTAACCCAAAAACGCGCAACCAGCAGCATTCGCAACCCGAGGTATGACTATATATGGAACCTGGATATAGGCTTCTGCACATGTTGTGTGCATGGTTCTTCTGACCTCAATGGACTGGGGCAAAAACTCATGTGGTTCTTTTATTTACTGTCCTGGATTATTTAACCGAAATAAATACCGTATTTTTCACTCCATAGGAGGGGGAGAACAGGAAAAACATTCTCCCCCTCTCTGCTCAGCGCCCCTTCAGCGAAGCGGCAGGAGAAACGGAGTCCCTTCCATTTCTCCTCCCGCTTCGCTGAAGGGGTGCTGTGCAGAGAGGGAAAACTGTGCAGCGCCTCTCCAGCGAAGCAAAGCCTGGAGAGCAAGAGCACCGACCCCTCTCGCTCTCCAGGCTTCAGGCAGCTATCCGCAAGCCTTCGGAGCGCAGCGGGAAGCCTTCGGAGCGCAAGGGGGGAAAGTGCGTCTTATAGAGCAAAAAATACAGTAATTAAAGGCTGCAATTCAGTGACAGAGCACCTGCTTTGAATGCAGAAAGTTCTGGGTTCAACCCCCGGCATCTCTAGGTGAAGCTGGGAGAGACCCACCCGAAACCCTGGAGAGCTGCTGCCAATCTGTGCAGACAATACTGAACCAGATGAACAAAGTGTCTTAACTTTGCATAAGGCAGCTTCCTATATTCCTTTGTCCACAAACCAGTGCAGCTATGTGCCCAAGAGCCATGCACGCATTCAGAGATTTTGTTCACGTTAAGTTCTGATGGTTGAAGAGATTAACCCATTCTTAAACCAAATAGCAGTTTTTGCCCTGTCAGTAAAGGAAGAGGTTGCCCATAGAGGGTTTTCAACAATATGATTAATAAAGAAACTTATTCAACTTACTCTCCACCACCAAGTTCTAGGGAAGTTACATCTCCGTTGATAAAGTAGGTGTTTTCTCCACTCCACTTAAAGACCTAAGGGAGAAGAGTATAATATCATAGTTATTCATCACAGTTGCTTGTAGCTGTGGCAGAATGACAGTAAGCACTTGTTAGGGGGGAGAAGTGCAAGAGACACATGGTTTGTGTCAAAAATTCACCATCTTTGCCTTTGATGGAATAAGGGCCTGTTCCTGCTCAGAATAAGAGAACAAGGGAGGCGTTCATGGTGAGTTCTGGCACCTCTTCTTCTAGAAAAACAGCACTGCTCAAGACTTTTTAGCTAGAAACATTTTCATTCCTTGAGAAGCATTCAACTTTCCCTTACAATGGCCTCCCTGAGAGGTGCCAGAACTAAGTTCCGGTGAGCTCTGGCTGGGAAAAAAAGCCCTGGTCTTAAGTAAAAAAAAAGTTGTCCCAAGCACGTTTTAACAAGAAGCATTAAGCATTCCCTATGGTGATTCTGATATAGTCTTCTTTTTTCTTGAGTTGTTTTTGATCCTCTATTTGTGTGTCAATTCATGCTCCTAGGTGTGAATCTTATTAAAAGCAGAATATTTTGCAATGTTACAATGTGGCTGCTTTCGCTTTCCTCATTTTTCTGTTTTCCTATTGCAGAAATTAAGTCAGCTATTCTCAGTATTGACAAGTCACTGTAGCTCCTACAGTCTTTTACATTCCCTACAACCCACAGAAGATTTGTACAATTTCCGCCTGAACAGCCATGTTAAAAAAATGTGGCCTCTGTCAGAAAATGCAACCTTTCCTATTTATTTTATGTGGTTCTTCCTCCAAGAAGCCCGGACTTACATAGGATCCGCTCACATCCAGACACCAACAAAGCTGAAGCTTGTTCAGCTGTGCCAATACAACAGCATCAGTATATTTAAGCCCTTTCATTGGTGTGCTTAATAATGCATTCAGAAATGCACCTTTGAGCTTTTGTACAAGTCTCAGCATCATTTCGCATAAACAAGCATATGGTGTAAGTAAAGTGTTAGGACCATCCTCAGTGCACCTTACCTTGAAAAGAGGATCAAATGTGTATAGGAAAGTTTCTCCAGTCCCATAATAGTGATCACTGAAGTGAAAAGGATGCGTTGCATAAGCCCCAAAAACCTGCCGAAACAAAATTACGATTCTATTGGAAGATACTTCCACATTTAAAGGCATTCAAAAACATTTCAAACAAGGTTACTGTTGTTTTTACTTACTTAACCTACCTATGAAAAGCAAACAATGATGAAAATTTTCATATCCCTTAAGCGCTGGTCATTTATTCTCTATTTTATGATTTTAAAATTTTTATAATATGTTTCAATGATTTCATTGCATGCACAATGGTTTGTAATGAGTTGGTAGTTTATAAATATTCGTAAATAAATATGACTGCAGTTCAGAAATGGATAAGGAGACATAGATGCCTTCATTCTGCTGAATTATCAGGAGTTGAAAGCTCAAACATCTGCAGCATGCACACATGGAAATAAAAGGCACAGAGAGGTTCTATCAGTCCTCTCACACCTATCTTAGTGTCAGTTTTCAAGAAACAGATCGGCTTTTAATACCATCCTTCCGGACATTCTTATCAAAAAGCTGATGGAACTAGACCTTTCTTCTACCATCTGTGACTGGATTAAAGACTTTCTGAGGGATCGGACACAAACAGTGAGGATTAGGCCTGATACATCTACCTCCCTGAAGCTCAGCACTGGCACCCCACAGGGATGTGTGCTGAGTCTCTACCTGTACTCTCTCTATACATATGACTGTATTTCATCTGATCCATCTACTGCAGTTACTAAGTTTGCAGATGATACTACCATAATGGGTCTAATTGCAGGTGGAGATGAATCAGCGTACAGAGGGGAGGTTCAAAAAGTATCTACATGGTGCCTAGAGAATAACTTGCACCCAAATATTAGCAAGACAAAGGAGATGGTATTGGACAAAGGAGATGGTATTGGAGAGCCTCTTCCTTTAAATTCCTGGGAGTTTACCTTAGTGAATACCTCACTTGGAAAAATAATATAACTCAAGTGGTTAGGAAGGCCCAGCAGAGACTCTATTTCTTCAGGGTCTTGTGAAAGAACAATGTTAAACAACAATTGATGACCTCCTTCTACCGATCCACAATAGAAAGTGTCCTCTCATATTGTATCACAGGGTGGTACGTTGGCTTCACAGCCACGGACAGAAAGTCTTTACAGAGGGGGGTGAACACAGCACATGATATCATGGGCTGTCCCCTGAGCCTGCTAGGTGACATTGCAAGGGATCGATGCCTTAGGAGAGCGAGAAAAATTCTCAGGGATGATTCACACCCCGGCTAGCACCTCTTTAATCTTCTATGCTCAGGCAGGAAATATAGAAGTATAATCAGTCATACCAACAGGCTAAAAAACAGTTTCTATCTGTGGGCTGTTAGGCTGCTGAATGGAAAATAATATAGTGCAACTGACTTTCGGGGTTGGTGTGTTGTGCGACAAGCACACAGAGTGTAATAAGATTGAGTGTATGGGGGGGAGGCTTGGTTAATTTCATTGTACACAGTTTGTACAGTGACAGTAAAGGTACTATTATTATTATTATTATTATTATTATTATTATTATTTCTCTTCTTGTGCAAAAGTTACAAGTATTCTAAGTTGCTCCTCCATCTAAACCCCTAGCAAAATCCAATGTAGTATGAGCAGATGTTTCCATTCCAGCCCCTGCATGCCCCAAAATTGCTCTTGAGAGCTGGAGAACCTTCCAGAGCAGTTTCTGGGGTGCAGGCTGGAGGATAAGAAGCCAGAAGTCCCATTGAAAAGTGGGGCACAAGTAGGCAGACATAATTAGATCTCAACCATTTTAAGACAGAAGAACAATGGCATCAATAAACTTGTGCTTTTTATGCCAATGTAATCTAAAAACGAACACGAAGCAAAAGTACTTTTCACACTATGAAGCACTCAAATAACTTGAAGACAGAAGACAGAGATCAATTGTGCTTTTTGTTAACACAAGACATATTTTAAGCTACACTCCTACTGAAATACTTGGAAACAAGAGGGAAAACAAAACACAATTAAACAGGATTTGTTGTGGTGCCTAACCTGATTGTCCATGTCTTTGATGACAAGCAGGACAGGGCTATCAAGAGATGCCGATTTACGATACAGTGTTTTCAAGCTGGTTCCATGTTCTTGTGTGCTGTAGACTAGCCTCCAGGGATATCCCTGAACCCTTGCTGGCAGGCACTGGGCGAGCTAGAAGATAAAAGACAGCATTGTAGTCAGTGTAAAATGCAACTGATGTGGCACTAGAAATTTCATTCCGTCCTGTATGAGAACTGAACAGTTCAACCTATAATCAGAGCTGTACCTCTGTACAATGAGGTGCATGAACAAGCTCCATAGGACGGGGCTCCCTGATTGCCATTTATAAAGCATCAAAAATTAATATGCATTGCACACAATTAAGAAGAGTTTGGATTTGAAGAAGAGTTTGGATTTGATATCCTGCTTTATCACTACCCGAAGGAATCTCAAAGCGGCTAACATTCTTCTTTCTTTCCCTTCCTCCCCCACAACAAATACTCTGTGAGGTGAGTGGGGCTGAGAGACTTCAGAGAAGTGTGACTGGCCCAAGGTCACCCAGCAGCTGCATGTGGAGGAGCGGTGACGCGAACCCGGTTCCCCAGATTATGAGTCTACCGCTCTTAACCACTACACCACACAAAACATGTTCTGATTTTATATATATATAAACACACACACACACACACACACACACACACACACATTCTCCCCTTTATAAATTTTACCTGTTCTATATGCATATTTTCTAAGAGCACACTCTGGTTTTTTAAGACAGGCAAAGCATCTTCATCTTCTTCACTGCATCGATCATCTTCTTCACAATAGCTGCAAATGCTCTTTCGCCGTTTTGCCTCTTCTACAGTAATAATCTAAAAAGGGTTTAAAAAAGAGATACTTTTTAAAAAAAAAAGTCTGGCAATAGTTTTATTCCATAATGCTAGATCAGTGGTACTCAGATGTTTTTATAAGAGAGAAAGTGACCCAGCACAGGGAAGGCTAGGGAAGCAGAAGAACCATCTAGTCATACCTTTTGGGGGATATACTATGTGCATCTTGAAATTTACTTATTTGATTGATGCAGTACACAATGTGTGAAAAGAAATGTTCTATACCGTGATACCTCAGGTTAAGTACTTAATTCGTTCTGGAGGTCTGTTCTTAACCTGAAACTGTTCTTAACCTGAAGCACCACTTTAGCTAATGGGGCCTCCTGCTGCTGCTGCGCCGCCGCTGCACAATTTCTGTTCTCATCCTGAAACAAAGTTCTTAACCGAGGTAATATTTCTGGGTTAGTGGAGTCTGTAACCTGAAGCGTATGTAACCTGAAGCGCATGAAACCCGAGGTACCACTGTAAAAGAGCAAACTAATGCCCAGGTAACAATGGCATAGCTCTATCTCATTCAGAACAGGTTTACCTAGTCACGGGCGAAAATTAATCAAAGTAAATTGTGAGGGAAACACAGTAAAGGGCTGCTTTTAGCATCAGCTGTTCACCCCACCCTTTCTTTGGAGCAACTGAGTTTGTAAACAGTACCACAAACTAAATATCTCTCACTAAAATCTGCAAGAATTAAAATACTTAACTTTGGCTGGGATTGTGCTCTTACTTTTTAAAATGGGAGGATAAAAGGGGAGGCCTAAAATAAGAATGTGTGGCTGGCATTCCACTAACAGCGCTAGGGGAATGTGATTTCTCAAATCTGGGAACCTGCAGAGGGGGAGGAGAGGGGGAGAACATTCTGCTGCGCAAGGAGAAATCCTTGTGCTGATGGAACAAGTGATTTATCCTATGCCCCCAATCCAGGCACCCTGAAGGAACTCTTGTGTTTGCTGTGATCTGTACAAGGGGACTCCTTTCTTCCAGATTATCTAGGCAACAATGGTCAAATATTGTCAACTGGATGGCAACTGACTGGCCTTATAACTAAGCCTAGAGGACTCTTTTGACCCTAAACTGTAATATTCATTCAGCAAAGGAAGAAGTTGCCTTATTTAACATGTATGCTGTTCTGTAACGGACAGAGAGTTCATAGAGAGGATGATATTATAATGCGGAGGAGTTTGCTCTCTGGCTTTTATCCATGCCACCACATTATTCCAACCACATGGCCTCTCATAGAATCACATCAGATATGACTAATCTAATAGCTAAAGGGGTTGTTTTATGGTAATGGACATCTATATATATTGATCTAATTTGTTCGCTACATTATATTTGACTGTCAAAGGAAGAGGACAGTGTAAAATAAACATGGACATTTATTGGCTTATGGTCAAATTAGGTCATCGTATTTGAAATGTTTTCCATTACAGCTCCTATGCCGTGATCCTCCAACTTCTACTACCATTGTAAAAACGAGGGAAATGTTTTTAAAGGATTTACTATTTAGATAGCTTTTTGTTTGATGGAAACCTGTAATATACTTTTACTTATTTTATTTCATTAATTTTTTGTCATGTTTCAGAATAAAAGCCTGCTCGAGGTAGTTCAGTCATAAAAGCATTAAACATTAAAACAACTGCAAAACACATACCCCAATCTAAATTAAACCTAATAAACAACTTAATGTGATTTAACACCTCATATATGCTACTTGTCCTTCAGAGGAGTGTGTCTGCCTTTTTCAAGTCCAGGAAGGAAGTGCTCAGGGACGGCTTATGGAAATACTTGAACTGATTAATTAAAATCTCAAGGTACAATAATGAAAACAAGATAAAAACAATGAACAGAAAAACAGAAGATAGAAGAGCCAGTGTGTTTCCCAAGTTGGGAACAAAATGTTGACTATGTGCACCTGCAATTGAGATGCAAAATATGCATTTTATTTGCATGTGAAGAGGCAGTTGCATACACACTGAAGGACAGGATTAAAAACAAACAGCAACAACAGAAACTCCTTTTACAGCTCTTTTAGTGCCATAATCCTATACGCAGAGAATAAGTGCAACTCAATAGTACGTACTTCAGAGTAGGCATATGTACCAAGATGAGAAATCACAATTTCAACAGAAATGCATTCTACAACAAGGGCAACAACATGATATCACACCATGTGCAGCACTGCATTTGTCATGCATATAAAAAATGATATGCAACGTATCTTAATTGCAACTACATTTCAATATGGTCTATGATGAGAACAGTTTTATTAACCAGGAAACAGCACTCCCATTCTGAACGTTCTATGTTGAGAATTGGCAAACAAAAGAACTAAAAGACAACAACTTTCACTTTAACCTACCTTCACGAAGGGCTCCTGGTCAGGCTTGGCACAGAATATTATTTGAAAATTCACAGCCGTTTCCTTTTGTCTGTCTCTTATGATTTTCATTTTTTTATTACCTTCTGATTTCTCGCCACACGTGAAGCTCCTGTCTCTACAGCTAACTCTGAAACAAGCTGCTTTCTAAACTGCCTTATATACCAAACTTACTTTCGTTTTCTCTAGAACGAGCCCAAGGGCAGCCTGGCAACAGATTCAACGCAAAAAGACTTTATTGTAAATAGGGTATGAGTCAGACAGCAGCAGCAGTCCATTTTCAGATTAGGTTTTGCAACAACTTTTACTTTTATTGCCATTTCCATGCACTACCTAAACATAAATTTACAGTGGCTCCAAGATTTCACAAGAGCAGGCTCTCTTACCTATTCCCAAAAAATTGCAGGAATCCCAGGATTCTCTCGCACACTCTTTGTCACCTGTCAATGCACTTTTCCTCTAAACCCAACTGATCAAACATCCACTGATCAGCATTAGATAAGGGACATCACTTCCTAATAGCTGCAGTGTCCTTTCTTGATTTCACTTATCTCCAGCCATCACAAGGAATGCTGCTCTCTTAAGTAAGGCTGCCATAATAACATTTTTAAAAGGTAAAGGGCCCCCAACATTTAAGTCCAGTCACAGACGACTCTGGGGTTGCGGCGCTCATCTCGCTTTACAGGCCGAGGGAGCCATTTGTCCACAGACAGTTTTTCTGGGTCATGTGGCCAGCATGACTAAGCCGCTTCTGGCGCAATGCAACACCGAAACCAGAGCAGCACATGGAAACGCTGTTTACCTTCCTGCCGGAGCGGTACCTATTTAGCTACAGTGGTACCTCAGGTTACATATACTTCAGGTTACATACGTTTCAGGTTACAGACTCCGCTAACCCAGAAATAGTACCTCAGGTTAAGAACTTTACTTCAGGATGAGAACAGAAATCGTGCTCCGGGGGCGCAGCAGCAGTGGGAGGCCCCATTAGCTAAAGTGGTGCTTCAGGTTAAGAACAGTTTCAGGTTAAGTACGGACCTCAGGAACGAATTCCTGGGTTCAGGAAACTATATGTCTATCAAGGGACCATGCTAATAATGGCCAGAATATGTAGAAAAGAATATGGGAGTCTTCCCAAAATAAGCTTCAGGCCACTCCAGATCATACACCCACATATCTAGGATCCCGTCTTCTGTGTGATGGCAAATACCGTAATTGCTTCAACTGATTTCTCTGTTTGGTCTCAATATGCAGTCAAGCCTCCCTCTACCATGCCACCACAGGTCATATGTACCCACAACCTGAGAAAAGTGGGTGGCATTCAACTAAATACAGGTAGGTAGCCGTGTTGGTCTGCCGTAGTCGAAACAAAATAAAAAAATTCCTTCCAGTAGCACCTTAGAGACCAACTACCGTACGTTTGTTATTGGTATGAGCTTTTGCATGTTTTTTCCTGTAAGACCAATTGCAGTTGTTAACAGTCGTCAACCATTCCCACATACCAATAACAAATTTAGTTGGTCTCTAAGGTGCTACTGGAAGGAATTCAACTAAATAGTTCCACTAGTGCACTGATTACCGCTAGCGTGATGGAATTTCTTCCCTCTTTTCCTCCCACATGTTTTCTGCACTATCCCCAGTCTGCTCTGAAGGGATGGGGGAATTCTCAGAATAGATTTCATTGGGGGAGGGAAGGGGGCAAATGTTCTATTGTGCAAGGAAGAATCCTTGCCCTGACTGTTCCACTTAGTGCTACGCTGAACACATCCCTATGTCACTTGCAGTTTCTTTAACTAGTTTGTTCTCTTTTTTATCAGAGATTGTTTTTAAAAAATGCAAGTGAAGATTTTTTTTTAAAAAAACCTGATTTTAAAGTTCAAAACTGATTTAAGATGAATGAAATCAAATCCAATTAAAACAGGTTAAACCCATCTTTCTTTAAACTTATCACTGTGCAATTGATATTAAATCAGCATATATAATGTAATCATTTAGGCTCCCTGTCCTGGGTCACAATTTGGAGTAGCCCAAATTTTCCATTACCTCATTTATGAGTATTGCAGTGATTTAGAAAATTACTGTGCATCTCAAAAGAGATAGTCTCCTAGTCATAGAGGTGTGATACTTATAAGAATATAAACTGACAACTCATAAAAATATCAAGGTGGTATACAGTAAAACTATTAAAACCTATTGTATGTAGTAGACCAAGCTTATTTTGGAGTTCAGGGGTATATAAACTCTTGTTCCTTTTTATGCTTTCTGACTGAGTTGTGACTTTTCAACACAAGGAAGAACTTGAAATTGGTAACCAACGTCAGCACTGAGCTCAGAAAGTGGAAGGGCACATGGTAAACACCTGTGTGCTCTCACTGCTAGTCTCTATATCCTTCGCATGCGGCAACTTGAATGGCCCAACCAATACGTCATGCATTGCTGCCTTTCAGTTTCCAGTGCTTGATTAATTCCCTGTAACAATTAACACTTTTCCAGGTATGCCCAGACAAAGCTAGCCCCTCCCATTTTTTGGAAGTGGGTAAACTGCTTTCCGGAGTTTAGGCTAAAAACAGCATGTCAGAGGAGCACACACACTGGATAAACAGATAGCCTATTGTAGATTTTACTTATTTTAAACTAATGTTTATGGCTGTTATATTATAGTTTTATATCATCCAAATCAGTTTAATTTTCTGCTCTAAGTCAGAGGAAAGGAAGGACACCAACACATCTTAGTGCCCCACTGCCAGGAAATCAGCAGCGGGGTGGATACCTGCCTACCTGTGGCAACTTGAATGGCCTTTATCCTGCCTTTTGCTTTCCAGCCTTGATTCATATCCTGGAACAATTAACACTTTCCTAGGTATTCCTAGACAAAGCTTGTCCCTCCCATTATTTGGCAACAGCTAAGCCGCTTCTGGCAGTTTAGGCTAAAACAGCAAGTCTGGACCTATTGACTTTTTTAAAAAAATGTAATTATCACACACCTTTATATCAATAGCCACCCTCAGCTTCCAGTCAGAGGAATATAAAAACATTTATAAAAATGAAATTAAAGGAAATAATAAGGTTCTTTGGATTTTTTTAAGCAGCCCTGTAAAGATTGTGTGTGTGTGTGTGTCTATATATATATATATATATATATATATGCTTTCGTAGATTTTCACGGGTACAGGAATGCAGGTTTTGGTGTCCTCGGGTGTCTTCCCGTGTAAAAGTTGGGGTGTCTAGGCGACGTTTCGACGAGGTCTCACTCGTCATCTTCAGGCTGGTGCTTTCGGCTTCTTGTTACTGGAACAGAGCAGGATCTCAGTGTTTGAGTTCCTATAAATACTGTTGAGGGGGTGTGGTGTATAGCCTCCAATGTTCTGGGCAGAGAGGAAGTTCCCAGGTTAGTGTGCCTTTTCTTCTTTTGTTCCTTAATTACTTGAGGGATATATTGAGTGATTTCTTGAGTGATATCCTGAGTACCACTTAGGTGGGTCATTAGGTGTGGATTAGTTGCTAAAGCCTTCGTGTCTTGACCTCTTGAACTTTGTGAAGAGTTTTTCTGAGAAGATGGCTGTATTGCATTTAGTTGTGCTCTGGCTTGGCTTCGTGTATAGGGGCGAGCTGTGGTTTTGTGTCCTGTGCCAGCCAGATCTGTGTAGGGATTGCAGGGGGGTGCAGCATCCGGAGGTGCCACCATGGTTTGGCTACTGGATGGTGTCTGTAATTTATCTGTGGAGAGGGTCTGGGTTTGGGTCTGGTGTGGTTGATTGGTGATGGCGTTCTGTGTGCCTCTGGATCTGGTGTCGGTTTTTGTGGGGAGGGCTAATTTCCAGATGTCTGGCAGGCGGGATGTGTCGTCACGCTTGTTCATGTTGTGAGGGTGTTTCTCTATCTCGATGGCTTCCATGATTATTCTCTTGTGGTGATGTTCCATGTTAGAGAGCAATTTGGAATCTGCAAAATTAATTTCGTGTCCTGTTTCTTTCATGTGTTGGAACAGAGAGGAAGTTTTTTCTTCTTTTTTAGCAACTAATCCACACCTAATGACCCACCTAAGTGGTACTCAGGATATCACTCAAGAAATCACTCAATATATCCCTCAAGTAATTAAGGAACAAAAGAAGAAAAGGCACACTAACCTGGGAACTTCCTCTCTGCCCAGAACATTGGAGGCTATACACCACACCCCCTCAACAGTATTTATAGGAACTCAAACACTGAGATCCTGCTCTGTTCCAGTAACAAGAAGCCGAAAGCACCAGCCTGAAGATGACGAGTGAGACCTCGTCGAAACGTCGCCTAGACACCCCAACTTTTACACGGGAAGACACCCGAGGACACCAAAACCTGCATATATATATATATATATATATGCTTTCGTAGATTTTCACGGGTACAGGAATGCAGGTTTTGGTGTCCTCGGGTGTCTTCCCGTGTAAAAGACACCCCAACTTTTACACGGGAAGACACCCGAGGACACCAAAACCTGCATATATATATATATATATATATCTTACAAAGAAAATAACTGAATGATTGAGATAGCAATTGTGCCAACTTTAGGCTTCTGTAGGGAAAACAGAAATGACTCCTAATGGTACCTTCCTGTTCATCTCATATGTATACTCATATTCTCTCTCTCTCTCTCTCTCTCTCTCTCTCTCTCACACACACACACACACACACACACACACACAAACACACAGGTCGTCTAGGGACGGGACACATTCTCACTGCCACCACATGCAAACAACGTAGTAGAACCAGTAGTTCTCTTGCCTCAAAGAGCATCTCCCATTCCTTCCTTCCATAGTGTAGTGAGTAGCTGCAGGATCAGTGAAGCTTAGACTCAAACAGGACAAATTTATCTCCCCAAAGACGATTTTTTTAAAAATCAAATTTTATTTTATTCACAAAATGCCTCAGTCTGGATCAGGATCTCCCTTCATATTGTTTTGCTGCCAAAATTTCCCCCCAACTTCACCACTACCACCACAAAAATCAGGGCACATAGCAGTTTTAGGGAGTGATGTTTTAGGCAGTGATGTTTGCTGTGAGACTGGCCACCTCAGGGATTCCTGCCTGAGCTGAGAGTTGAACAGGAATTTTCTGCCCACAGGTC